TCTTCACTTTCGTGGGAAGATTGTCGTACCTAAGGATAAGGACCTCCGGAGACGCATCATCGAGCTCTGCCACGACACTCGAAGTTGCCGGACACGCGGGTCGCTTCAAGACCTTGGAGTTGGTCTCCCGGAACTACTGGTGGCCTCAGATGTCTCGCCATATTGGCCGGTACGTCGCGACCTGTGACTTGTGCTGTCGCACCAAAGCACTCCGGAGACTGCCCCACGGAGAGCTGCACCCGACGGAAACGCCCCCAGAACGTTGGCATACTGTCTCCGTCGACTTCATCGTCGAAGCTTCCGGAGGCCCATGGGTACGACGATCATGGTCGTCGTCGACACCCTTGGGAAGCGTGCCCACTTCTCGGAGTGTCACACCACGGTCGACGCAGTAGGGGCGGCTCGCCTCTACTACCGGAATGTCTGGCGCCATCACGGGACTCCGGAGAAGTACGTCTCCGACCGCGGCTCGCAGTTCATCGCGGACTTCACCCGAGAACTCTGGCGTCTAATCGGCATCAAGCCTGCCACGTCCACCGCGTACCACCCGCAGACAGACGGTCAAACAGAGCGCGTCAACCAGGAGCTGGAGCAGTACCTGCGGATCTTTACCAACTATCAGCAGGACGACTGGGATGAGCTGATTCCGGCCGCGGAGTTCGCCTACAACAACCACGTTCACTCCTCCACGCAACAAGTCCCCTTCATGACGGACACGGGACGACTCCCGCGCATGGGCTTCGAACCCGGAGTCCGTTCCGCTATGGAGTCCGTGAACGAGTTCCGCGACCGGATTGCCACTGGTGTTGCCGAAGCCAAGGCCGCGCTCACTAAGGCCAAAGAGGAGTACAAGCGCTACTACGACCGGAGACGCACTCCGTCTCCGGAGTTTAAGGTTGGCGACCGTGTTTGGCTGGATGCCTCTGACATCAGGACGACTCGCCCCTCGGAGAAGTTCTCCCACCGCCGCCTCGGACCATTCAAGATAGTCGCGGAGATCAGCAAAGGTGCCTACAAGCTCGACCTCCCTCCGCGCTACTCGAAGCTCCACCCGGTCTTCCCGTCGTCAAGCTCGAGCTCGCCCAAGACGACCCCTTCGACGGACGCCCCGGCTACGACCCGGCCCCTCCGGACCTCGAGGACGGAGTCCCGGAGTGGGAAGTAGAGGAAATCCTGGACGCAAGGGTGAGGTATAAACGGCTGAATTACTTCGTCAGATGGAAAGGCTACGACGCGTCGCATGACCAGTGGGTCCGCTTCGACCGCGTCTTCGCCCCGGAGAAAATCACGGAGTTCTATCGTAAGTACCCTGGCAAACCACGGCACATCGCCTCTGCAACCTTCGACTCGATTCCATTCCGGTCTATGCGTCGGGACGCCGCATTCAAAGGGGGGTGATGTCAGGGGAACCTCCCTTTCGGCCCCTCGGAGACGATTCCGATTCCGGTCCGACTCCGGCTCCGACTCCGGTGATCGCATCACCGCCTCCGTCAGGCGCATCGCCGCCCCCCGCCTGGCGATCCCCCTGGGACCTGGCCTGCGACATGGCGCAGGCATACTGCACGGAGCAACGATCAACCTTGGCGTCAAGAGTGCAGTATATAGTTCCGCTACCTAGCAGGCGGACCCTTAGAGTTTCTTCTCTTTGGATCCTCCCCTGCTAGGTCAGCCTCACTTGTATTTGCTTACTTCTATTCACTCTTTGGATCCTCCCCTGCTAGGACCTTGATCTCAGGCCTCCGGGGTTGCCCTTACAGAGACGCATTTCACGTCCCGCGGGTGTATGGGTCTAATGATGCCCGCTTCCTCCAACACCTTCACTTGCTCCCTCAGGTATTCGGCTTGTGGTTGCGACAGTGGTTTCTGGTGGACTTTGGTGTTGAATTGGTGATCCTTCGGGATGTTTGGTGCGTACTCCGCGCCTTTAACTGCGGTGACTTCGCTTACTGCCAGCGCAAACACATCTGCAAACTCCGTTAGTAGCTTTTCAACTTCTATACGTTGCTGTTGCGTAATGTCGCTTCCGATTTCAACTGCTTGCAATATCTTATTGACTCTTGCTGCGTTGTATGGGTTCGTTGCTCGCGTGAAGATCTGCTGCTTGGCGGTATGTGTCTCTTTCTTTTTGTCAGCTTCCACTTCTATGACGTTGAGGCTTTTTGGGTTGACTTCCCTCGCGGGGGCTTTCCCGCCCCCCTTATCATCTAGCTTCTTCTTTTCGTGGGACTTTTCCTCTTCCGCGTTTGGTTTGTCGTTGCCCATTGCCTGGTTGTGGATTGTCGCCCTAGCTTCTCCGGTTTGCAGTTTGATTATGTCGTCTCTGTAGTTGTGAGTGACCCCAAACAGCGCTTGCAATGGCTTCCCGAAGAGTATTTGCCAGCCGCCTCCACTGTCGAATACCTCAAGAGTGACCGCTGCTTCCACTCCTTCGATTCTCGCTTTCCCCACCCACTTGCATATTGCTGGAACTAATTTTCCATCCGCCATTCGTAGTACCGTTCTTGATGGCCTTCCTCTTCCCAACGTTGCCACATTCTCTTCCCATACCCTCTTGTCCATTGCTCCTACCATCGCTCCGCCGTCGAATAATGCTCTTACTTTGGTTTGCCCTTTGATTCCACTTAGCACCACGTCGTATTCGAAAGCTTTACACTTAGTTTCTCCCTCACTCTGCATGCCATACATGTCAATGATGTGGATTCGGTTGTTCGTTTGAATACATGATTGTTGTCGTATGGCGGGATCGAGGCATTGCTTTGGCCGCGTGTCCCGGACTGTTCGTTGGCCCTCTACTCGGACAGTCCTTCCCCAAAATCCTCGTTTCTCTTCTCACTCTGGAAGTCCTCGAGTTTTAAGGTTAGGTACGTGGGCTTTGCTACCGCGCGCGGTTTCGGTGCCGTTCGGGTATTCATGGTTCCGAGTAGCCTGCTGCAGATCGATCTGAATTGACGTTCTTGTTTCGGAATTCACTCCGTTTCGCATTCCCCTTGACGGTGGTACGGAACCGTTAGCTGTCCACATTGGAAGCACTCTCCTGAGCAAACTGGGGCGGTGCCGGGGCTCAATGGGAACCCTATTTGCTCGAGGGGCGGTCGTTTCTGGTCTCCCCCGAATTGCTTCTGCCAGAGGGCCACTTGAGCTTCGTGGTACTTGCGTCCAGCCTCGTTGTCTGGTGGCGGTTGTTGCTTTGCCAGCTCCTGCAGCTTCTTCCTCCCTTCCTCCGTTAATTCTTCTGTTCGCTGCCCAAAGAGATTCCCTTTCCCTCCTTCCGTTCCGAACGGGTCATTTCTGCTCGGTGCTGTCGCGCTACTCGGGCTTGCGATGCTCGCCGCTGTCAATCTTGCCGCCATCTTCGAGACAGGTGTTGTCGGTACCGCTCTACGTTGCAGCTCGGCAATCTTCTTGTCTCTCTCCGCGTCCTTCTCCTGTTTCTCCTTCGCCTCTTTCACATCCTCCTTCAACTTGGCTCTGTCGACTTTTTTGATAGCGTCCGTGAATTCCTTCCACGTCGCTGGCTCCCTCGGCAAGTGCTTTCTCAGCGGTTCCGGTATTCCGTCTCTGACTTGATAGATATAGCTCGACGTTGTGTGGACCCCGGCCTTCTTCGCGGCTTCCTGTAGCTTCTGGGCAAATTTGATGTGCGCTGCTACTTCCTGCCCCGCCACATCTATCGTTCCCCCGAGTTCCGCCAATGTAAGCTTGATTTTCACCAGCCGCTCTTGGTATTCTTGCTTCGTTGGTTCGGCTTCCTCGTCAGTGGGGAATTCGGTCAGGAACTCCTTGATGAAGTCGTCGAATTTGGCGATAGGATTTGATTTTTGGCGTTGCGTCCACCATTTGGCTGCCGGTGATCTAGTTGGGAAGTAATCTCCCACTGCGCCAATTCTTTCCGCGTCTGTTTCTCGATTAAGATCTCTGGTGCGAATCTTGAATTTGCGGACGAATTCCTCCGAGTTCACGCCGTTCTTCTCGTCTTTTTCGTCCCCATAGAACGTTGGTACTGCAGTGGTTTCATTCATTGCCGCGGCGTTGGTTATTCTAGGCTGTGTTGTTATTCTAGGCTGTGTTGTAGTGGTAGTTGTCGTGAATATAGCTGCCGCCTGTATTGGGGCCGGTGACTGGGTGACGTTGGCGGGGTGATTGTCCCTTGGCTGTATTGCGTGGACTGGTAAGATGCTGACGATGTCGGCGGTGTGGATGATGGTAGGCTTTCAGCGTCTGATTGCTGCTCTGTTCTTGGCGCTGACTTTGTATAGCGACCCTTATTGTCTCTGCTTCTACTCGCCAGTTTCCTGCTGCTTTCACCACTATGTGTGTCTTCGAATGCCGCTCTCGTCACCACGTTGTGGTATGCCTCTCTGCTGTGTCTGAGATCATGTCAACTACGTGACATGATGTGGTGATGTGATGTGCTGATCTCCCATCACAACGACGACGCCAGGCTCCTGCGCAGCGACACCGCGATCCTCAGCGACATTGTCTCCGCCACCAGCCTCTCGTGGGACCAGGCCGCGCGGGCGCTGCATCTTGCGCGGGGCGGCAACACCCAGTGGCGGCGGTATTTGCTGCAGAACACACCGTTGAGCGAGGCAGATTTGTACGTAAATTCGTGGAGGTTGCGGCACCAATAATGAGGCTTGATGCGGTTACTTTTTAGGGAGCCACGGCTGGGGCAGGCGGAGGCGGGGACGAGTGGCGGCAATGGGACGGGGACAGGCTGACGCTGAGGGGGATTGGGAGGGTCGAGTTTTACGTTCAGAACGGTGCTCCGTAAACCTTGTTATCCTACAAGAGCGCTTGAAGAAAATGGAGCTCGCGATTCGGAGGCAAAAGGCGAGAGGCTCGGAGAAACAGGATATCGATGGGCGGGCTTGGAACTATGCTGAGAGATTCTCAGCACTGGTGTTTTACGATTCCAACAGCCGGGATATTACTGAGATTCCGATACATATTCAGCCAGAACCTTCTCCACGGCCTCTTTCGTCAAGTGAAAGGGATTACTATTGATGAATATCGAGAGTATCCACCCAAAACCACGATTCCGGGAGCGGCATGTTGCCTCGCAGAGAGGCCCACAGTTCGCCAAGTTCGTCCTCGGGCACGGCCACGTCGTAGTTGTCGCGCTGGAAAAGCGGAGCCATGAAACAGTGGTAGGGATGGTCCCAGATGGGCCGCACATGGGATCCTTGCCAGTCAACGACTGCTACAACTGTAGGGTCTTCCGCTGAGCGGACGAGGACGTTGAGCGAGTGCCAATCTGCGTGGGCAAGTCGGAAAAGTTCGGGTATCGATTTCATCGTCATTGCATGGGCATGTAGTCGCTCAAGGTAGTTATAAAACTCGTCCCTGGTGAGCGAATCTGCGTTGCTGCCCCCGCTGTCTTCCGAATAGAGCGCCCGCGTATTTTGCCACTCGACAGGGTCGGGAATGTGTTCTTGGGCGCCACGCAGACGGGCCATAAGGTAGTCGCGCGAGGATGTGAAACGAGGAGAGTTCGGCGGAAGGAACATGTAGTGGTGTAGTGGTGGACCAACAGTACCATCATCATCAGTTATCGCCCCAATGGCTTCCAGAGGGTGGTCCACGAGCTGTTGCTCGAAATCGGCAACTTGCGCAGTAAGACGGCGCCAGGATTCGGTCGTGAAAAGAGGCGAGGCCCGCGCGAGGGGTACGCCCAAGGCTCGTTCCATGAAGATGTAGGGTGTCCCGACCGGTTCGGAGGTTTTATTCCAGCCTAAGATGGCGGGAACGGGAATAGTAGTATGCTTCGCAACGAATTGCATCGTTGCAACCTCGGATAGGAGTTCGGCGGAGACGCTCTCGGCAGATACTCCAGCGGTGGGTATCCGAAGACGAGCGATAAAATCGGTTTTGTCGGTAAGCGCGATGAGGAACACCTATTGATTTTAAAAAAAATCTGAGTCGATACCCCAGAAAAAACTGTTGCCACTCACAAAGTTACCACCGCCAATAGCAAGAAGATGTATGGACGCGACCTTGAGGTGGAATGCTTGCACTTTGAGTTGGTCGAAATCAAAAGTGCCGAGCTGCTCTCGTGCTCTACGGGCCAGATTAGGGATGGTCATCTGGCGAGCGAGGGTCTCAGACGCATGCATGGGCCAGTATGGGATCCTGTCCTCCTTCAGCAGACCCTTCTTTGTTGAAAGCGACAACACACCCAGGCAACCAAAAAAGCTCGCGAAGCCGCTTCGTCTTCCAGAGGTGGGATTGGCGTTGGTACAGGCAAAGGGTCCGCCTGTGTATGTGGACTCAGCATAGCGTCCGCAATCGAGCATAACGTAGGCATACTTTTGAGTTTTCCATCGCTCTTGAGTCTTAGACTTCTGTTGTGGTCTGCAGAGTACTTAAACACCGCTCGGCGCTTCGAGTTGGCAAGCCACCGCATGGTCACACATACACGTACACAATTATTGTGTGGGCTGTGGGAGTGTGTGGGTGTGGTACAACGTCACGGTCGGGCGGAGTCTGGGTGGCCCATGGCGGCGGGAATCAACCAAGTTTCTGTTGACAGCGGAACGGTCACGCAATTCTGACACTCTTTCCGAACCTTATACGCCGCCGACGCCGTCCCTTCAAGTTTGCCTCTCTTGGTTCATACATGGGCTGCAACTTGGCAAGGCATCGTCACGAAAAGATCACCTTCTGTGGTTCACGCCGCCGGCGCTCTCCGTTACTTTCTACATTCTCCATATAATCAGGTCGCTTCCGAGTCAAGTTGCGCACATCTTCTTCAACTTCTCTAAGCAGCGACTCAAATAGTTTACCCACGACTTCCAGCGTCACCCAAATCCTCAAACCAATATTGATACTTCAGAACGAGTCCGCCCGGCGGTCAACATCCGCGAAGACAAGTCTGCATCCTTCCACCGATATTGCACTTCACCCTTGCTTCCACTCGTTTTCGGGACCAACTCCAACCCTGGCTCCCTGTATATATGGCTATCACGGCTTCCAACTTGGTAATGGGAGGGAGGGAAGGCCTTGGAAGGCTCGAGCCAGGAGTTATGGTCGACACCAGCCGAGGATGGTTCCGGGAAAGCCTTTCAATTGCGGCCAGAACTGGACGCGGGTGAGTGTCCTTTGACCAGAAACATCAGGCTGCTGACCCCATGTCCACCAGGCTTACAACTCAACGCTCAACGGCAATAGACTCGCTCTTGCTTGTTTCCACTTCCGTTAATGACACGACCGGAAGAAGAGCAGTAGTCTCCCAAACATCGAAATACCGGGCCCGTGATATCGCCTTGCGCCATCCACCATCGTCTCCGCATGATCAAGCAGTATCTACCCTAGAGGTCAAAAATGGCTCGTAGCAACTCCTGGTCGGGTCGAGTGTTGAACCGGGAAAACCAAGTACACTGTGTCGATGGGGGTGACTCAAAGGAGAGGACCACAGTCATGGCATCTTGCGCGTCGAATACCCAACTCGGAACTGAAAGGATGTTGATGTAACTCGGGCACTGGGTAAACGAGCACTGGGCTGATAACGTTCCCGCTGGATTCGCATTAAATCACTATAAACATTATACTTGCGACGTATATGGGAGGGAATGCATCGATTCGGTCTGTTTATCGTTGGAGACTTGGGCCCCTGTAACGGTGTCAACCCCCGCCCCAGGCTGCCGCGAGGGCAAACTTCCCAGTCCAATGTTGGTCGCACTTCCGCCATTCGCATTGACGCTCAACACAGTTGTAGCCTGGATCGTGCTCTGTGACCAGGCCCGACCTTGCGCAACGCGCGACAGGATGAGCATCGGCGCTATTGCCTGCACCTGGTGAGTCCTACAAATATTTTGGAAGCATGCGCATACCTGAACTTGGCCCAGGATGGGAAAGACCAGGTTTTGCACCGAACTGCTGCGAGCATACGTGACGATGAATATAAGACCGACCACTGCATAGAGCGAGGCTGACTCGATGATCATTGCCGCCGAGGAGAAGTACTGCTGGGCGTGCTGTGCCCCGAGTGTGCCCTTGACACGCTTGCGTAGGACGAGGATCCGCCCCACGATAAGCAGTGTAAGCAAAATGTTGAGCGAAATGGAGAGTGACCAGTATGCAGTGCCGAACTGGACGGAGCGGGCAGCCCAGAAGGAGTTCTCGAGCTGGAAGCTCGTGACGATAAGCGCCAGGGACGAAACTAGTGCGCATTATTCCTGATCATTGGAGCGAATCCAGTGACTTACTGACCGAGCCCAGCAGCATTAATGCCGGGAATATCGTATAGATGTAACTACATCCCCAGACGAGCCAAAAGCGCCACAACTGGGTTAATTTCAGTCTTTAAACGGTGTTTATATGCTCCAACGTACCACAAGACCATCAGCAAGCCAACTCAAAATAACATATCTAGGTGTGGTTCAGCCAAAGTCAGGTTTGTGGACTGCGCCAACGAACGCGACAACACCCATCATGTTCACGGGCGATGTGAATGAGATGATTTCGAATCCACTGGGTCCCCCCGGTGCGTTTCGATCTTGGACGAAAGAACGCTCATTGATTTTCGTTGCGCTGCCGTAGCCGATTGTAGCCAGTGCAAACATCATTACGGCGTACCCGACCAGTCCCCACGGCCTACTTCCCCTGGGAAAGTTGGAGAACGAGTGCATGGTCTGCCAGGTCAACACAAGGAGGACACCTGATCATGAACGGAAGTATTCAGGTAAGGAAATAAAAAAACGCGACAAAGCCACGAACCGTATCCAACACCAGCCAGTGCGAACCCATCGAGGAACGACTTCTCGATCCACAGATCGAAGGCGGTCTCGCCTTCTGGTGCGAATGAAGTGATGTTCGCAGCCTGAGTCGAATCCATCGCGAAGCTGGGGGTAAGCACGCTGGCATATGCACCGGTGCATGCTCTTTAATAAACAACATCTTTGTTAGCTTTCTCCCAGGTCTGTCTACCTCTACGCCAAATCAATATCGTATGTCGCGCGCGGATCAGATTCTCGCCCCTTCCTAGATCCTCGCTGGATTCCGTCTTCTCGCGGGTTGAATTACATCAATATCATTGATGCTCTCGTCGTCGACGGCGATAACATGCCACTGGTACATTCCGAGATCGAAGCCGTTCGAGCCCAGTTGCCTTATCGTTCACAATTATAGATATGTCGGCTTGGCGCGCGAACTTCGAAGGCATGTGGTCTGTTTGAACTCATGTCTGAGAGAAATCAATGGAGGAGAAGCTCAGCCCTCGACTCGGATAAGTCTTTGTTCGCCCGGGCCTGTTGCACCACCCAAAGATTTCCAGCATACGCCATCTCAACTTGAAAAGAATTGATCATCTTCAACTTTTTTGAGTTGCATCGATTTTTTTAGGTTACAGAAATCAGGTTCAAGCAGTATATAAAGGGAGCCCCAAGTCTCATGGTCCGCCAGTTCATATAACCAGATGACCAAGTTCATCCTTGCAGCTTCTCTTGCCGTTTTCTTCGCAAGTGCTCTACTTGGAGCCCAGGCCTTGGCTCTGCCAAATGACGGTAAGCTGTTAAAAGTCCCGGGCATATTTATCCAAGGGACTAATTTGTTTATCAGGGTCTAATGTCAAGCGACAATGTAGGTGACCACCCGCCGAACTCTGTTACCAATCTCATCATCTATGGGAAAGGTGGCAACTTTGATGCGCCGCACACAGTCACAGTTGGCTTAACACCACTTAATTGTCCTCCTCCATTTTAGATACCCGATAGAAACACCAACTTTGAAGTCCTTTTGGAGGCAATTGGATCTGAAGCTTTATTTGTACCTCATATTGGTTGCTTTGTTGTGAAAAATAAATTTGTCAATATATATTTGATGATATTTTGAATTTGCACCAAGGCACTGCCTGGCCCTTTTTTTTTTTTTTTTGAATCCAATTTTTATTTCTGTTTTGTGCCTAAGGCATACGTCGGAAGTCTACTGAGTGTGGTGTGTGTCTCGCCTGTATACAATTTGGGAGACCTAAAGGCTGTTATCTGCTGCGAAGATTCTGATGCCCCACGGGGGACATGCAAAGTGGTGGATACCGCGAGGGAGGTTGTAAGTGTGTTATATCCGTGCCAACTCCGGCATTCGATTCCGATATCCGATTCCGGTATTTGGTTTTTACGCAATGAAGATTTACTGAGCATTTCCAATTACTCTGACTTATGATCTATGCAATCATCTATGCCTTGTTCCTCATATGCAACTCCTCTTCTACTTTACTTGACTTTGTTCTAATCTTGTTACTTACTTTGTTATACCTTATTCTGTTTCTGTTACTTCTCATACTATAGATACTTTGATGTATTATCATGTACTTTAGTTTGTAAATTAACATTGCTGGTCTCTATCTCCCAGCATTGTCTTGACTCCGCTCTTCTCTCTTGTCTTGTCTTGGTCAACTGGAAGCCCCGGTCACCCAAACATCCTTCTGTGGTGTTCCGCCCCAAGTGCTCTCCGACTTCGATTCCGTTTCCGACTCTGACTTTGACTCCGGTCCTTTGGTCGACACGGCACTTAACAAAGTGCCATATTGCATGGCCAACACTCTGGGAATTGCGTGAGTTGACTATTCAGGCTCATCTAGCTTGCTGAAGTCACCAAACACAGAATGGAATCATTGCATCTGCTGAATGAAGTGGAATAGGTGTGGAATGAGTTTGGGGTCTGAGAGCAGGTCTGAGGTAGGTCGTGAATTGAGCTCTTTGTCCGACTGCATGCAGCTGCTGTTGCGGGTTCACATGGGTTGGGCAGAAGTGGAGGAAGTGATCCACCATCTCTTCATACATGTTGTAAGAAGCACAGAGGGGTGATTTCACCTTATTGAGTTGGAATAGATGTTTTGCCAGTGGTGCATGTTGTGAACACAGTCGAGGGGAGGTTCAATATCTGAATTACAGATATAGGGTCAGAAAGTTTTTTCTGACCCCCCCTCCCCCTCCTGCCATATAGGGTAATATGTTCCCATGATTAGCATCATGTGACCACTGATGCGATCAAAAATTGGCATGAAAAATTAACACTGGAAAAAGCAAAATATCAGCTCGAAGAGAAACTGTAATTGATTTTAGACCAATCTGAAGTAGAATTAGGCCAACTTAAATGCAAAGTTTTAATTGAGCAGAAACCTACTCTGAATTTGGACAAACATGTACAAAAATCAGCTCCAACAAAACCCCTTCTTTCTTCTAACCCGAAACGGCCACAGAAACTATGCCTATCAGCGCTAGTTTCCGTGCTATTGAAAGTGGCAATTTATAGCTCACTGATTCTTGCACAGAAACAAAGGGTTTCTGTGCAAGAATCAGTGAGTGAGCTGGAAACAAACAGAAACCCTTTGTTTCTGTGCAAGAATCAGTGAGCTATAAATTGCCACTTTCAATAGCACGGAAACTAGCGCTGATAGGCATAGTTTCTGTGGCCGTTTTGGGTTAGAAGATTGGAGCTGATTTTTGTACATGTTTGTCCAAATTCAGAGTAGGTTTCTGCTCAATTAAAACTTTGCATTTAAGTCGGCCTAATTCTACTTCAGATTGGTCTAAAATCAATTACAGTTTCTCTTTGAGCTGATATTTTGCTTTTTTCCAGTGTAATTTAATCTTTGGTGCCCTATAGCACTCTGTTTCTGTTGAAATACCGGTTGATCCGAGGTGCGATGGGATCAAAGAGAGCGATAAGGGTTTGCAATCACACTCCGATAAAGGATCTGTGCGTTAGGGCAAACGATGCCCTACGCTAACTATCTATTCACTTTATATACTGTTTTTACATTGTTCCAGTATATTCTAAATGAGTCAGTAGAAAATCAGTCAGCGCAAGTAGAAACTGCCAGAACATTCCGGCGAGTCACACATGTGACCATCAAAACTTCAACACTCCCCCACGACGAGCCGCTCCCCCATTCCGTGCTCCCCCATCAGCTCAGAGCCGTCCATCAATACCTCCAGCATCATGCAGTACACCAAGTTACACAGCCACATGGCAGTCCGTTGCCGGCTCATGCGCCTCATCCACAAGTGGCATCACACCAGGGATTGCAGAGGCCTGTATGTCCAGATCTTCACAGGGGAGTCAGGGACATAAGACATGGGTGCCATTGGGAGTAAATATCCAGGGTGGGAAGAAGGTGGGTGAAGGATTAGAATTGTTGTAGGGTAGGTGGGGGGTATAGTTGATGAAGGAAGTGCCAGTATTACTAGTCCCTTGTTTTACTATGACAAACCAACAAAGAAACTATCGATGCTGGACCTATCCCAACTGTTATATGGTAAGCGAGTCTTTGGACTTATATTTTGTTATGATCTGTGCCTTTCTTTCAAGGTGTGACCATTCTAGAACCTTCTTATACTGCCACCATGAGTGGGCTGATTATTACGGCCCCCCGCTCTATGTGTGCAACTTGCGGCTGCTTTCTCGAACAACCAAAGACTTGTGGCGGCTGTCGGCGTATTCGCTATTGTTTAGTAGCCTGTCAAAAACGCTATTGGCCCTCTCACCGCTCACGCTGTCGATCGCACCAAGAAATACTGAGCAGTGGGGATTGTAACATCAAAGAGCTGAAAAGCGCAGACTGGCGGGGATGTTGGAAGCCATCTTTGCCATGGTGGGCCGTGTGGTCTGCCAATCTACCAGAGCAGCCCCCTGATTACTTTACCAATCATACGTGCGTGTCTGATACATTTATTTGAACATTTTCTCATCACCACTTTATAGTTTCTTCTTGGAGTTGCGAGAACGTCCGGATGCCAAAAATATTCAAAGCTGTATGGAGGTTTGTGCCGCTGTCTTCATTGTCTATTTGGTCTGAGTTTGCTACTTAGGTGATACAAGGAGGCATGTTGGATGATCCAGCTGTCATCCAGTCTTTCCCTTCTGCTGCTGAAGACGCGAGGGATATTTACAAGAACCTATCTGCCTCCGCGGCCTCATTACGCTTTCATCTCAGTTTCCGTTTTGCAAATGGGCAAGCTGCATTTGTGTCCTATGCGGTGGCTGCGAATCGTATCATGGCTCCTCTCTGGTGTTATTCTGTGTCAAATGTTAGCCTTGGCTGTGCTTTTGCGAAAGTATGGGAGCAGTCGTTTATACCCGCTATCCGTTGTGGAAGAGGTAAGTAATACTGTCAGGGGAACCCCCGCTTCGGCCTCCTTCGGACCCTCCGAACGCATCCGAGGCGCATCCGACCGACGCCCCCTCGGACGCTCCGACCCACCCCGACCATCGTCCACGGCCTCCTTCGCCCGCACAATCACCGATCCGTCAAGACCCTCCCAACGATCACCTTGGGACAGAGCTTGCGACGCCGCTCAGGCCTTCTGCGCTCTACGTCGGCAGTTACGGACGACCAGTATATAGTTGGCGCCCTAGCAGGCGGACCCTTAGAGTTTCTTCTCTTTGGATCCTCCCCTGCTAGGTCGGTCCCTCCGTGTATTCCCGTAGCTTTTATTCACGCTTTGGATCCTCCCCTGCTAGGCTTTCGTCGGAGTCTCCAGGGTTGCCCTTACAGCAGAAGAAACTCTCTACGGGATTAACCGGTCAAGATTGCCAGGTTTGGCGCTGATTCAGGCTTGGAGTACGAGTCCGTACCCCCCTCGTCACTGCCCCTGCCACTTGACCCCTCCTCCTCTGCTCTTGTCGTCCTTACGCCCGCTATGTCTACCGGAGCTGCTCCGGACGCTGACGCGCGCATGGACGCACTTGAGGCGAAACTAGACAACCTCACCAATATCCTCACCCACCTTGCTTCCCAGGCTTCCGCTGCCGCACCACCTTCGGCAGCTCCCGAACCGCCTTCGGCATCTCCGAATGCCCCCGACGTGGATGCATTATTTGGTGACATTACTGTCG